TGTGTGTGTCTACTTCTGGACTATCTATTCTGTTTTACAGATCTCTTTATCCTTTTAATGACAATATACTGCTAAAGTACTGCAGTTTGATTAGTAAGTCTTGAACCAGGTAGTGTGAGTCTTCCCACTTTGTTTCTATTCAGAATTGTTTTTGGCTTTCTAGTTCCTTTACCTTTCCAAAAAATTTTTAGAATCAGTCTGTTGACTCCTATAAAAAAAAATCTGCTAGATTTTTTTTTTTTTTTTTTAAAAAAAAATTTTTCTCTTTCCCCCAGTCTGGAATGCAGTGGTACGATCTTGGCTCACTGCAACCTCCACCTCCCAGGTTCAAGTGATTATCCTGCTTCAGCCTCTTGAGTAGCTGGGACTACAGGCGCGTGCCACCATGCCCAGCTAATTTTTGTATTTTTAGTAGAGATGGGGTTTCATTATGTTGGCCAGGATGGTCTTGATCTCTTGACCTCGTGATCTGCCTGCCTCGGCCTCCCAAAGTGCTGGGATTACAGGCATGAGCCACTGCGCCTGGCCCCTGCTGGACTTTTGATAGGGATTTTATTCAATCTATAGAACAATTTGAGAGAGCTGACATCTTAATATTGACAAAGCATGGTGGCTTGTGCCTGTAATCCCAGCTACTCAGGAGACTGAGGTAGGAAGATCACTTGAGCCCAGGAGGTTGAGGCCGCAGTGAGCGGTCTGGACCTCCAGCCTGGGTGGCAGAGTAAGACTTTGTCACAAACCAAAAAACAACTCCAATATTGACTCTTCCAATAGTTGAGTACAATATCTCTTTATTGGGATTTTCTTTGATTATTTTCATGAGTGCTTTGTAGATTATCAGCACAGATGTTGCACATTTAAAAAAATTTGTATCTATGTATTTGTGTTTCATGGTGCTATTGTAAATGCTATTGTAAATTTTATAATTTCAATGTCCAACTATTAATTAATAGTGTATAGAAGGACTGGGCATGGTGACTCATGCCTGTAATCCCAGCAATTTGGGAGGCCGAGGTGGGCGGATCACGAGGTCAGGAGTTCGAGACCAGCCTGGCCAACATAGTGAAACCTGTCTCTACTAAAAATAAAAAAAAATTAGCTAGGCATGGTGGTGGGCGCCTGCAATCCCAGCTACTCAAGAGGCTGAGGTTCAAGAATTGCTTGAACGTGGGAGGCAGAGGTTGCAGTGAGCCAAGATCACGCCAGTGAACTCCAGCCTGGGTGACAGTGCGAGCCTCCGTCTCAAAAAATCATAGTGTATAGAAATATGATAGATTTTTATATAATAATTTTGAATCCTGTGACTTTACTAATTCACAACTTATCATTAGTTCCAGTAGACTTTTTGGTAGATTCTCCGGGATTCTGTGCATAGAAAATGATTTCATTTGCAAATACTGAGAGCTTACTTCTTCCTCTTCAATCTGCATTCCTTTGATTTCTTTCCTTTTTTTTTTTTTATTTCTTTTATTGCTTTACTGAACTTGATATGACTACCTTGTCTTGTTCCCAATTTTAGGAAGAAAGCATTCACTTTTTCACCATTAAGTGTTACATCAGCTATATGATAGTTCTCTTTGCCCTTTACCAGGCTGAGGAAATTCCTTCAATTCCTAGTTTGCTGAGATTTTTTATTATGAATTAATGCAGTATCTAACCACTGAATAATCATATGGGTTTTTAAAATTTTTTCTTTTTTTTTTTTATGAGACAGTCTCACTCTGTCGCCCAGGCTGGAGTGCAGTGGGACAACCTCCACCTCCTGGGTTCAAGAGATTCTTGGGCCTCAGCATGCCCCAGAGTAGCTGGGATTACAGGTGTGTGCCACCGCACCTGGCTAAGATTTTTATTTGTTTTTTTCAGTAGAGACAGGATTTCACCACGTTGGCCAGGCTGGTCTCAAACTCCTAAACTGAAATGATCTGCCCGTCTTAGCCTCCCATTCTTTTAATGTCTTGATATGGTGAATTGCATTGATTCATTCTGAAGATTAAAGCAACCTTGAATTTTTGGGGATAAAACTTACTTTCATAATGCATTATCATTTTTACATATTGTAGGTTTTGATTTGCCAATATTTTCTAGAAGATTTTTTGTCTATGCCTGTAGTTTTCTTTCTTGTAATCTATCTGACTTATTTTGATATCACAATACTACTGATTTAATAAAATGAGTTGGGAAGTGTTAAACCTTCTTTATTTCCTGGCATAATTTGTGTAGAACTGATATTATCAAATATTTCCTTGGTAGTATTAATTTTTTTTTTTTGGTAGAGATGGGGTTCTTGCTATGCTGCCCAGGCTGGTCTCAAACTCTTGGCAAGTGATCCTCTCACCTTGGCTTCTCATAGTGCTGGGATTACACGTGTGAACCACCGCACCTGGCCAATCTATTATTTTCTCAAATGAGCTTTGGTAGTTAAGAGATGAGGTTATGGAGTCAGACAAGCTTAGCTGTACCTCTAAATAGTCATTTGATATTGGACAATTTACTTAACTTTGAGAATGATTTCCTCATATATAAAATGGAAATATTGATAACAAGACTTATTGTCAAACAGATTTGTAAGGTTTAAAGATAATCCATATTCCGCTGAATGAATGTTTGTGTCCTCCTCAAAATTCTTATGTTGAAACCTAATCCCCAATGTGTTGTCATTTTGAGATGGAGCCTTTGGCAGGTGATTATATCATAAGGCCAGAGACCTCATGCATGGGATTAGTAAGAATCCTTATAAAAGAGACTCCAGAGAGCTCACTTGCCCCTTCTGCCATGTGAGGACACAGTGAAAAGACACCATTTATGAACCATAAAGTAGATGCACTTACCAGATACTAAATAAGCTGGTACTTTGGGACTCCCCAGCCTTTAGAACCATGAGAAATACATTTCTGTTGTTTTCAAGCCACCCAGTTTAGGCCCAATGGACTAAGCATATTAAAAACTAATCCCAAAGTTTCATATACAGTAAGCACTTAGTACACATTACTACTACTATATGTTATGTTATGTTATGTTATGTTATTTTTGAGATGGAATCTCACTCCGTCACCCAGGCTGGAGTGCAGTGGCATGATCTTGGCTCACTGCAACCTCTGCTTCCTGGGTTCAAGCGATTCTCCTGCCTCAGCCTCCCAAGTAGCTGGGATTACAGGCACGCGCCACCACATTTGGCTAATTTTTGTTTTGTTTGTTTGTTTGTTTTTTGTTTTTTAAAGACAGAGTCTCACTCTGTTGCCCAGACTGGAGTGCAGTGGCGCAATCTCAGCTCACTGCAAGCTCCGCCTCCTGGGTTCATGCTATTCTCCTGCCTCAGCCTCCCGAGTAGCTGGGACTACAGTTATCTGCCACCATGCCTGGCTAATTTTTTTGTATTTTTAGTAGAGATGGGGTTTCACTGTGTTAGCCAGGATGGCCTCAATCTCCTGACCTCGTGATCTGCCCTCCTTGGCCTCCCAAAGTGCTGGGATTATAGGTGTGAGCCACCGTGCCCCGTCCAAGATATTTTTAATCAAGGTTAATGTTAGTACAGGGAAGAATAATTAGAACATTCATTCTTTGGTATATACTTTCTCCTGCCTTATACTTATCAACAGGAAACAGGTTCTGCATTCCTTAGAATCATTAGAACTAGTACATGATGCTATTTGATTGACTTTTCACATCTCCTGCATTTCAAAGCAAGAAACTAGTTTCGGTCCATCATACCCATTCACTATCAAGACATAGTGACTCAAGCAAACAAATGATTATCTCTCAAAATCAAATTAACAGAAATCCAATGAGTAAGAGTTATAATTGTTCACTAGGATTTCATTTAAAAATTGGAAATATTTGAATCTTTACAAAACATGCATTGAAATAATTCTAGCCTAAGACTAAGAGGATCTAAGAATGATAAAGAATCTTAAGCCTTAATATAATTGCTTTCTACTCTACTTGAAATCAAATAGTATTTTCAATTTCACAAGAAGAAAAAATCTTATAATCCTTTAAAATTTCCCTCTCCTTTACTATTCGGGATTCTTGCGCATTTTGTAACTCCCAATTCTTTCAAGATGATTTTCAAAAGGTAGAAAGAGAGGCAAAAGAGTAAATAAAGATTGTATTAAAATAAGATATCTAGAGACTAGATGTCAAGTAAGGAAAACAAAACATGAAATAAAGTTCAAAAAATAACACCAAAAATCCCTTTGTATATTGAATAGGAACTACTACCTACGTTACTTGATTATTTCTATGAAACGAAAAAGTAATTGTTGAAGGATGAGAGGTAGGAGGCGGGACTTGACTCCAGATGTGGGGCTCAGACACTGGACAAGATAGAGGACTAGCTAAAATGGTGATGTCAGGGGGAACAGCAGCCTTCAATCATGCCATGTGAATTTACTGTTGCCATGGCAACACCCAGACGTTACTGCCTCTTTCCATGGCAATGACCCAATGATTACTACCCTTTCCCTAGAAATTTCTGCATAAATCATCCCTTAATCTCCATGCAGTTAAAAGAAGGTATAAATATGACTGCAAAACTGTCCTGAGCTGCTACTGTCTGCCTACAAAGCACTCCTGCTCTGCAGGAGCAGTCAAAGAGCTGTGATACCATTGGAGCTGTAACACTGCCTGTTCAGTAAAGCTGTTTTCTTCTACCTCTGGCTTGCCCTTTAATTTGCCTTCACGAAGCCAAGTTCCCTCATGGGTTAAGCTCTGCTTTGGGGCTCACCTGCCCTGCATCAGATGGACTTCTAAATATACTAGTATTTTCCATATTCTTTCTCAAATAATCTTACATTTCTAAATTAAGTTTATAACTAGGGGAAAAAAAACTCTTGTGAGCAAACATTAAGGACCAAAGTCTGATTACGCTAAGTAAGTTATAAAATTTTAAGCTTTATCTATAGTTTGGCATGTAAGTTAAACATTTAAACTTAAAAAGAAATTCTTTCCAGTCATCTAAAATTCTTGGTGGAAATGTAACATGTTAGGAGAATTCTGCTTACCATTTAAATCTGAAACACTTCATTCATTCTGGTGACAAAGGTGGTTTTAGCAGTTGGCATAACATTCCTTCCAAATTTCAAGGTGCTTTGGGTCTTTCCAAGATGAATGTCCTTTCTTCCTTGCCTCTCATTCCTTAGTTTCTGAAGATAGCAATGTTAACTGCAAGAGAAAAAAACAGAGCAAAACTGGAGAGTAATATAGTTTCAAATGTACTGGACATCTTTTCTTAGATATTCCTAATATCATCCTCACTCAACAGTTATAATTCATCTAATTCATTTAAGAAATATCTTCTTTACTTAGGTGGAGATACGCATAGAATCTCACACACTCAAGACCTCCCCATGGCATACCAAAGTATCAGAAACTTACAAGAACCCAAAGAGCACGGATGCACTTGAGATTTTCTAAGTCTTCATTTGATTGTTTTTGTAGAGACTTATTCTACTAGAAGTTTATGAATATTAATTGAATGACAAGTCATTAAACTCAAACATTATAAAAATATGATTCTAAGGGCCACAATGTCCAACTTTGGCATAACCTTTCTAAAATATTGAAAGCAGGGATCTCCAAATGTAAATACTTCACTAGCCACTTTGCAGTTTTAGTTTAGGCTCAAGTACGATTTTTAATTTGGTTTTTAAAAATATCACCCAAAATTAAATACCTGTCTACTTATTTCTGATTCTTGGGCATCCATTTTATGCATGTTCAAAACTGATCCAACCCCTAATTTGTTTCACTATAACACCAAACACAAGGAAAATAACTGAGTTACTGTATACCATATACAAGAGGATGTATATAGATAATATGCAAACACTACATTTCATATAAAGAACCTGAGCATCTGTGAATTTTGGTATGCATGGGAGGTGGTCCTGCAGCCAATCTCCTGAGGACACACCAAGGATGACTGTAATTCCATTTATTATATTCTTTTGCTAGTGTGATCATATATTATACCTCTACATATATTACAAAACCTCATAATGATACCATTCAACTTTTGTTTTAAAAAGTCAGTTTTTTTTTTTTAAAGAAAGTGACAGAGGAAAAAAAAAAAAGAAAAGTCATTTGTATTTATCACTCTTGGTGGTATTCATTTCTTCCTGTAGAATTGAGTTTCCATCTGGTATCATTGCCTTTCAGCCTTAGAAACTCTTAGTAGTTCTTATACTGTATGTCTATTAACAATAAATATCTAAGTTTTTAAAATCTGAAATTGTCTTACTTTACCTTCATTTTTGAATGATATTTTCATTGGATATTGCATTTTGACTTAAAGTTTTTCTTTTCTTCTTCTTCCTTACAACTCTACTGATGTAATTCCATAATTTTTTGTCTTCGATGTTTCTGTCAGCTGTCAGTAATACTATTGCTATCCCGTATTTAATGCTTCTTTTGTTTTCTGGCTATTTTGAAGATTTTCTCTTTATCTTTGAACTTTATTTCTATTTTTTTTTGAGATGGAGTTTTGTTCTTTTGCCCAGGCTCAGGTGGCACGACACTGGCTCACTGCAACATCCACCCTCTGGGTTGAAGCAATTCTCCTGCTTCAGCCTCCTGAGTAGCTGGGATTATAGGCGCCAGCCACCACGTCTGGCTAATTTTTGTGTTTTCAGTAGACATAGGGTTTCACCATGTTGGCCAGGCTGGTCTCAAACTCCTGATCTCAGGTGATCCACCTGCCTTGGCCTCCCAAAGTGCTAGAATTTCGGGTGTGAGCCACCACGCGTGGCCTAACTTTGGACATTAGTAGTATGACTATTATATGTCTAGATTTGATTTTCTTTGTATTTATTCTACTTGGAGTTTATTGACCTTCATTCTGTGAGTTATGTTTTTGGCCAATATGGGAAATTTTTAGCACTTATTTCTTAAAAAAAATTGTTCTGTCCCATATTCTCTCTTCCTCTTGGGGATTCCAATATATACATAAGTTTGACTGCTTATTATTTCACAGGTCATTGAGGATATGTTCTTTTTTAAAATTTTTTTCTCTTTATTCTTATTTTTTATTTTCTAACCACGTAAGCAGCAATAAGTATTTATTATTTTGTTTGTTTGTTTGTTTAAGAGGCAGGGTCTCACTCTGTCATCCAGGCTGGAGTGCAGTGGCATGATCACAGCTCACTGCATCCTTGACCTTCTAGGCTCAAGCAATCCTTCTGCATCAGCGTCTTGAGTAGCTGAGACTACAGTCACACGCCACCACACTCTACTAATTTTTACATTTTTTGTAAAAACTGGGTCTCACTACATTGCCTACGCTAGTCCTGAACTCCTGGGCTCAAGCTATCCTCCTGCCTCAGCCTTTCAAAGCACTAGAATTACAGGTGTGAGCCACCACGCCTGCTGACATACTTTTATTTATGCATCTTTCTAGTCAACCACATATGAATTATATACTTAGGAACTGCTGTGTGAAAGGCAGTGTTCTAAGTACTAGAGAGACAATAAAAACGCAAGATCTCTGCTCTCATAGAGTTTACCTTCTAGTACAGATAGATGGACAAATAATAAACTGACTTCAGAGATATTCAATGTTCTGAAAAAAATAAAATTGAGTGTTACAAAGAGAATGGGAAGGTGAAAATGCTGTTTTAGATAGTATATAAACTAAAACTCTCTGAGGAGATGATGCCAAGTTGAAATTGAATAAAATGAGCCAGACACACGTAAAGATTTAGGAGTAGAATTTTCCAGATATAAGGCACACATGTCATAAGACAGGTAGGAGTATATAATGCTCTTAGAAAAAATGTTTCTAAATTATCAAAACAATTAATTAACAATTTGTGAGAAGATATCTTAAATATCATACCATTACCATGCCCAAAATTTAAAAATTGGCCTGATTTTAAACCTATTTACTAATTATTCCTGTGTAATAACAACAATGAAATAACCTTTTTAAGTTGTTAACTTATTTTACTAACAATGGAAATTGTGTTTGGGTTCTGACTTGCCATTTATTCAAAGCTTCTGCCAGTACCAATCTTTATTTTTATTTCATATTTGAAAACAAAAGTTCTTCTCTCCCTACATTAGAAAAGAAAGAAGTTGCCTTTCTGTTTTATTTCTTGACAGTGTTACGATGTTTTGGGAAAACATCATGAAGACATGCAAACAAGAAAAGTATTCCCCAAATATGCAGCCACATGCTGCTATGTCACCAACCATTTATGATGCAATAGCAGCACTCACCTAAATTAAACCTGAGCAGTTTCTTCCAGAACTTTCATGGTACTGGATTTTGGCTACTGGTAAAGAACAACATCAACTATACACCTTATGGAGGAAGGAAAGAAAATACACTTACGGTATAAACTATGAAATGCATAATAATTCTTCTAAAGTAGGACTTGAATTACCATTATGGATATAGCACCAAACAAAACAGTAGGGCATATATTTCAATCCTGCTTCAGATAGATATTAGAAAACAAATTCTGAGCATTCTAACAGGGGACTGACCAGTACGCTAAAGGATATCAGGTAGAATAAAGAAAATATGCTTTGAAATGCATTTTGTATTCTAACTGGCTAATAGGGTTATGTGAAAGACATTATAGAAACATAGGTAATGCAGAAAAGAGGCTATAGTCTCAAGATTGTGAACTAAGAGGAAAAAAATCCAGGATCTTGTAGGTGGGGGCAGCATTAAGTTAAATATAAGGTGAAGGGACTTTCTGTTCATGAGTAACCAGCCAACTTCATTCAAAAATGACTAAATTCAGGATAAAGAACTATGTACTAATTTGGGAACATTAATAAGATAAGCATAATAAAACAAAAATAGGGAGGAAGGAATTTAGCCTTGCATGATTGAAAAATATAAAACGTGCAGGCTTGGTAGTAAGATAAATTAGACACTAGCTTCAATTCCCCAATTGGTTGAAGAAACTCAGACACTATAAATTATTTCAAACCGTTGACACTATATAATCTTTCTTTTTTTTTTTTTTTTAAATTTTTTTTTTTTGTTGGAATGGAAA